AAAATCAGCAAGAAAAAATCAAATAACCCTACTAAAAAGGGCATAAGGACTTGAACAGAAACTTTCTAAAGAAGACAGAAATGCCAACAAACATATGAAGAAAAAATGCTCATCATCTCTAATATCAAGAAATGGCAAATCAAGAACCACACATGAGATATCACTTGACTTTATATGAATGGCCTTACAAACGCTCTCCAAACAAATGCTGGGGGATGCGGCAGAGAGCGGAACCTCCTACACTGCTGGTGGGACTGCAACTATTCCACCTCTGGGAAAGCAAATGGAGATACCGTTAGCCGTACACTGGATCTACCATTTGATCCACATCCCATTGACTGGCATCTACCCAAAAGATCCAAGACACCTCACAAAAAAGACACCTGCACTCGAAGTTTATAGCAGCACAATTCATAATCACAAGGCGTGAACAGCCCAAGTGCCCACAATCCAGAATGGATTATAAAATGTGGTATGTGTCCCATGGAGTACTATTCACTCTAGAAACATTGAATAAGCAATCTTATACACTGTATAATTCACAATCCAGCAAGGATGACATCTGCTTAGCAATTAAAATAGGATTACTATTGTAATGATAAAGCATAAGGGATTATGGAAACATGAGAATTTTAGAAAAATCAAAGAACACTGCTGTAAAGAGAGCAAAATTAAAGTAGAATTGATGCATGAATAGAAGTGAATTGAGGAAGCAATTACAGCAGCCAAAAGAATATATATAAATGTCCTGAAGGAGAAGAGAGAGTATCAGTTTATCAAAACAAATAAAAACCACAGACACCTTGAAATAGAAAAAGGGAGAGGTGAGAGTAGATGGTATAAAGTGAGTCTGAAATAGTAAGTGGGAGATAAATCTTATAGGATCTTGGCCATGTTAAAATTATGTGCATTGGATAAGGATAAAGATGGCGGACGAGAAACACCACCAGAGTGTCTCTGCAGAAAAGAAAGATTCTAGCAGAAATTAGAAAAAAGAAGCAAGAAGACAAGCATACAGCAGACAA